CCTTCTGCCGCTGCCATTTATTCAACAGGATCCAAGATCTAACTCACGGCTTTATCGCCCCATCTTTTGATGTTTCCCCCTACTCATATCGGCTCTTTTGCTTATCATGACGTCTTTTAATTTCCCTATATTCGCCGGCCGATATTTGCCTCTCGGGATCGACTGTTCCAGCTTCTCTTGATTTGGTTGATGTTAGGATCTTAGTCTTTCCTTTGATCAGCCTAGCATCAACCATGTTTTGATCTCCTGGGAAAGGATTATCATCAACTTTCATTTTTCAAGGTGTATCAAATTTGAGCCTTCCTTGCTGAATAGCCATCTATATATGCTGCCGGAAAATTCTGCATTTATTAGTGGAATGAGAAGTAGCGTTATAGAACTTGTAGAACTTTTTATTCTTCAACTGATCAGGGGGCAACATAACATGACCATCGGGCAACTTGATCTGCCCCTTCTCAAGCAAGAAATCGAAGAGCTTGTCTGATTTAGTGACATCAAAGTCATAGTTCTCTTCAACTCCTCTTCCCCAAGGATTTGGCACCATTACTGTTTTCTTGTCCCAATTCCATTCAGTCACAGCAACCTCTTCTTCTTCATCTTCATAGCCGTCATTGACTAAGTATGGATTATAAGCTTCGACCACTGTAGTACTCCTCTAAAATCGGGTATCTCTGCGTATACTCTAGAATTGGCTATTAAGTATTGCCACTTGTTGAGCCAATTGACATAAGTTGTCAAATTCTTGTCCGAGTAGTTTTTCTTTCCACATTGGCAGCATTCCTTGAACGGCTAAAGCAGCTAGCTGATCATTAGCCAAGTTTAATGAAAAGCATAAGTTCCTGGTCTCTCAAAACCTCTGAAGGAATTCAGTGTCTGATTCATTAGTCTTCTATCTTATAGTTGTCAAATCGGTAATCTTCTTTTCTCCAGTCCTAGTATAAAAATATGTATGAAATTTCTTCTCGAGATCAGCCCAATTAGCGATGGAGTTGACTAGCAGTGATGAAAACCAAGTGAAGGCTGGCCCTGATAGGGACAAGGAGAAGAAATGAACTTGATGGGCCTCCTCAACTGATGTCTTGCCCAATTGTGTAAGATACCGACTGACATGTTCTATTGTGCTTGTACTGTCTTGGCCAGTGAACTTAGCAAACTCTAGAAGCCTATAATTTGTAGGAAGAGCAACCAAATAATACTATTCTGGGTATGAGCGTTTGTACGAAAAGGTCAGCCCCTTTGGCTTCAGACCGAACTGATTCTTCATCATCTCGATCACCTTTAGCAACAACTCGTCAGCATGTGAATTTGGATTCACCTGCACCTGCTGGCCCACCTGTGGATTGAAATCCTATGTGGCTTGATACCCTGGATTTGGAATCATGTGAAGGGTGTTATAATCTGTGCCACAATGATATCCTTGTGGAATCTCCATCTGTTGGGTCTTTTGCTAGTTTGCTACTTGAAGTCTCTGATTGTAGACATGAGGATCTATATCTCTATGGATCCTTTGAATTGATGGTGCTATTTTTTGAGCGGACGATGGTATGTGGCTTGATGTGCCAAAATTAATCACCTGGTTCTAACCTTGCCTCGCCAGTTGTTGCACATGCTGTACTGACGATCCAGGATTATACCGTGTTTGATTCGTAGTAGTACCTTGAGCTTGTTCAGATGAGCCCTAAACTGCCTGGACATCACCATTACCAGCTGGTGCTGCTTCTTGATGGCTGGTACCAACTTGATTAGTCCCTTGGGTCAATGGATGTGGAATGTTGTAATAAGCCGACCCAACTTGACCAACTAGAAACCCATGAATCGCCTCTTTCATGGCGTTGTTGAATGTGTCCAAGAAAGCTTCATTATGGCTTGATAATGCATCACGAACAGATTTGTCTACGATTTTTGTGAAGAAACACATGTCCTCAGCTTCAACTGTATCTATCTGCCCATGTAACAGAACTCTTGGTAGTGGAAATTTATGAACAATTGTGTTGTCACGTGTTTTGGTGTAGGACAACAAGCACTTGTTCTGAAATTCTTCTGTAGCTTTACCGATGACATCTTTATCTCCATCAGGTAGATCTTCATAATGTACCATAAGGACGTCGTTGTTGTTGTGAACCACCATGACGATTGTGGGGTCCCACTGGGTGTGCCAGAAACATGTGTCAACACGGAATTTCGTCCCGTGCCGAGGACACATGAGCAAGCCAGAAGAGTCCGCTCGATGGAGCTGGAGATCCGCCTAGCTTTAGCATAGGGATGGTCGATCCTACGCACTCCTTCTGAGATGTTCCAGTCAATTTGACCCTACAATTGACAAGGAGAGAAAGTTTATCAGTAATTTAGGGCGGAACATGCCGGTGTTGCCAGACAGTCCCGAATGTGTGGCTCTGAGAGCCGATATGAAAGGAGATCGACTAAACAGTCGATTCCAGTATATTCATAAGAATAAATCAGTTAAAGCTCATGGGGTTGTGTAAGAAGAATCAGTTATCATTCATGATTGAATATCATCATTTAGACAAATATCGGTCAATGGCAAAAGGATATCAACAATGATTAATTTATGCTAAGCCAATGACTGCAAGTAACCGAACCCCTTTTATATAAAAGAAACAGTTCATCACCATTCAACCATTTAATAAAGATAAATCTAATGAACGTATTAAATCTCATCTATCGCTATGCCTAGTGGGGCATGCAGCAGAATCATGTAGGTCGTAGAAACAACAATAGACTCGACGACCCTAACTTATCACTAATATCAGTGGAGCATGAGGTAGAATCATGCAGGCCGTAATACAATAATAAGATAATGGGGCTAACACATCTTTCAACCTATCCCTACTTCAACGATCTCGTGATGTGAATTGTTCGTGAAAGCGCTCGATATCGGCTAAAATAGCCGATTTAGGCATAGAGCACAGTTAAGGTCATGCCCTCTCAGGAACAGATCTACCAAATAGCGATCCCCACTCCACGGTGCTAATAGTGGGGTGTGAGGTAGAATCACACAGGCCATGATAACAGGCCGTTGAACAGTTTTCGTTAGCCAATAGATCTACTCAAGATCAGACATGCCTTAACCGCACGCTATGCATGATCAAGATTGATATAAAATAACCGATAAAACATAACTCATCGTTTAAAGTGCATATTAGATCAGTTTAGATTAACAAACGATGGGTTAAACAAAATATAAGACTGATCTAGATCAATCCCAATCGAGCGAAGTGATATTGCTGTAATTAAATAAATAATGGAAGCAATAAGCAATATCGGTAACTTAATGAATCTATCCGAAGGAACGCCACCCTTAGATAGAGCCGATAACTTGACCTTAATCTAGTTCGAGTAGTGGAGGTCGACCGGATCGATGCAGCCGTACTTGAACTAGACAAGAGTCGATAACTAGCTTATACCAGAGTTGCAGTGGAGGTCGACCGGATCGATGAAGCCATACGAACAGAGGTATAAACCATGACGGTACTTACAAACAAGCAGTGGAGGTTGACCAGATCAATGCAGCTGTACTTGCTGAAGAACTCGCCGAGATCTACTCTACTCCTACTCCTAAGGGGTGGCCGGAGCTGAAAAAAGTAAGTACCTTGTATTGGATTGATTGTGTCCTTTACAATAGCCAGGCTTTGATATTTATACCCGGGACCTACGCATGACTCCTATCTAAGCATGACTCATCACAATCTTTGACCCTAGAGAAAATATTCCTAATTTAAGATAACTTGAACTCTAATTTTTCCCTTTTTGTAGAGTCCAAGATGTCTTGTCCCGGTGCCTACACACGATTGATTCCTTGATGACATGATCTTGGGAGCTTTCGAGTCCCTGCGACTCTTCTTCCAAATTTTGGTGTAAACACTAAGAACCTGTTCACTACATTCATACCAGGTTCTGTAGATTCTAGGTTGCTTCCCATGAAAAACCACATAGCAAGGGGCCATTTGCTGTGAAATAATATAGTTCGTTAGCCTTAGTCAAATGTAAATCATGAAACAAGCCATGAGTGTGGCATTGAAGGTCTTGAGATTGAGAGAAGAAACAACCCATGATCCAAAATGCCACACCAATGAGGTGGTTCATCTTGATCAACTTATATTGTTGGCATCATAGGCTAAAAAAATAGTGGCCTCAGCTGTAGAATTGATATTGCACATGTACTAAACAAGTCCAAAAAAGCAACAAGTTTGATATTGCAAATAAGTAGGAATAGAACATCAAGGCTACCATGGAACCCATTTGGCCATCCATTCTCAGTCGTCATCCAAGTGGTGTTGCTAGAGAATGGATTGTTCAGATGGATTTAATGATAGCCATGAACAAGCCATGAAAAATAATAACAATAGGAAATAGTTATGCAGCCACCTCATAGTGTTTTCACATTTTGCATCATAGGCCATATTAGAACCCACTTTAGGCACCAAGTCATGGAAACACATGTATCAAATCCAAGAAATGACAGAAATATTTGAAAGCATGAAGTGAAGATTGAAGAAACAAGGCCATTCCCAAGATCATGAAGATCATGAAATCCATGAGCACATCTATTCACTACCATCAGCATGGTATGAGCATGCTGTTGCTAGGGAATGGATGTGTCCCATGGGTTCAATGACACCCATGAACAGCACAATGTAATACAGTCCTCTCAATACAACAAGACATAAAGTGACAAATAAACTAGCAGTAGCAGTAACCAACAGAGGTTACTAATGAATACATCAAGTTTGTGTCCAAATAAAGCTTCAACCCACAACAAGTAGGCACATAAGTGAACTACCAAGTTACACTTAGTCAGATAGTTAGCCACCCTCCTGCTATGCAAACCCAAAAGAACAGGTGCTGGTCAGCCATCTACCATGCACAAGAGCTACACTAAAATGGAACCCAAAAGAGAAGAGAGTAGGTGAGGGAGGTGGAGGAACTATACATCTCAACTTTTATCCCCCTCTTTGCCCTGTTGTTCTAGGTGGACAGAACTACATATAGTAGTTCTTGGCTAGATAGTTCCTCAGCCAAATGTCCCTATGGCTATCTACCATGTTGACAAAGCCCCTGCCAAGGGCCTTATTTTCTAGCAGGTAGGTGTAGGCAACAATGAGAGCTTCATTAGTAAAGCCCTGCATCTCCATGACTGCAAGATAGAGGGTAGGATCCACATGTGCAGGCCCAGTCTCTCTAAGCGCATTGGTCACATTGTTGACAACATCTGTCATGTTAGTCATCATGAGCATCTCATCCTCACTAAAGTTTGCCCTCTTTCTCTTTGCCCCAATAGTGGAAGTGAGGAGGTTAGTTACCATCTCAGTGCTAGTTTTGACATCAGCAGTACTGGTGAAGTCATGGCCCTCTATCTTAATAGCAACACTGTCAGCATGGTTCACCCCAAGTGGCTCACTGGAACCTAGGGCAAACCTACCAGTGGCCATAGAACTACCAAATATGGTCTCCATCTCAGTGTAGAACCTGATAGGGGTGTTGAGGAATTCAACATCCTTAGGGTGGTCCTGCAGTCATGTGTGCTTAATTAAATAAATAGGAAAGAAGAGAAATAGTGACTACAAGAGAAATAGGGAAGAAGAGAAATAGTGGAATGACTCAGTTTCTACCTTGCAATGGCCTAGGTAGTGCTCAGGTTCTAGCATTATGGCATTGACATCATGATCAAACAGTGCACCACTAAGGTCCTTCAACTTGCACACCCTAGCACACTTCTGCCTCCACTTCCTCAAGTGATTGTACACTTGAGTGGAGCTGACAGCTTCACCATTGTACTCCCTAAGTGCCTTAGCCACAAAGTTGGCATCCTTATCCTTGAAGCACTTCTCAGTCCTACTGCCATCAGAGACTATCTTGGACATCCTCCTAAGGACAAATCCTGAGGTGTTGTTATTCCACCTCATGGGGGGCCTAGCACCACCAGCACCCCCCTAGGTAGGGACTGCCTCAGGTGCATCAGCCCCAACATCCACAACCTCAAGTGCAGCAACATGACTAGCTAGCCCAGCACCAGCCACAACAACCATGTCAGTAGCTACCACAAACCTAGCCATCCTAATAAGGTTAGCATCCATGACATGAAGCCAAGTATCAACAATAGATAGAAGATGAACAACAGGTACAAGATGAACAACAGATAAAAGATGTACAAGTTGGTCTTAGTCATGTCCATGATAGCAGAATCATCATAAAAATAATGGCAGGTTGGTCTTAGTCATGTCCATTAGTTATTACACATGATTAGTACACCACATGAGTTCCATATCCAGGGTCTACAAACTAAAATCATACATGAATGGAAAGCATGAATAAAATCCTAGCAATACCCCTACTAGCCCACATGGCATTACAAATGCCATCCCTCCTATTAGACATGCTAGTGGAGTCCTGGGACAGCATGTCTCCCACAGGTTGGGTTTCATCAGCCTCAAGCTGGCTGCCCAGGAAGCCCTCCTCTTCTGGGACTACTCCATCAATGCCAAACCCAATGATCCAATTATAGAGAATGCAATAGGCCAGTACAAGCTTCACTTGTGTCTTGTATGTGTGGAATGGTTTGTTGTCTAGGATACGAAATCTATTCTTGAGTGCACCAAAAGCTCTCTTAACTGTCGCTCTAAGGGATGAATGCTTTAGGTTGAATAGTTCCATAGCATTGGTAGGATAATTAGGGCTCCCATATTTAGACAAGTGGTACCTCACCCCCTATAGGGAGGGAGGAAACCAGTGCGGCAAGCATAGCCAGCATCTACCAAGTAAAACTTCCCTACAAGTGGACCAAAACATAGACTACAGTGAAGGTTTGTGGCAAGTTAAAGGACAACAGTGTATGGACTAATGAATTCAGTTACCTTTAGGAACTGCGAACCCATCATTCCTGTCAATTACATCATCAAGAATGAGTGCATCATGGGGTTGTGTTTCCTACCCCTGAAAGCCTGCTGCATGTGTCTAGGTACCCTTGCCAACACATGTGTGCCATCAATGGCACCAACACAGTCCTAAAAATGTTTAGGATAGTGGATAAGTGCACACATGTACAATTGGTTAAACCTAAGGTAGATAAATAGGATTAACAAGTACCTGCAAATAGGGGTACCATCTCTGGCTACCCATGATTTTTGGATGTGTGCCAGTGGTAGGAGGCTCAATCATTTCAGTCCTAAGCTCAACAACAGCATAAAGAACTTGGTGGAAGACTCTACTAACTGTCTCAATGGACCTCCTAAATGACTAGTGAACTACCCTGAACGTCTAGTTGTGACCAACCACATGGAGGAACATTGCAACCTGCTCCTCAACAGAACACCCACTGGTTTCTGGAACTAGTCCTCTACCTCTAAAAAGGTTGCATAGAGCAAAAAAAGAGCTCTGGTCATACGCAACATAGCCAGACACTCAGCATCAGTGCTGTTGAATATCATTTGGAGGGTTCCTAGCCTATGCTGCTGGCCTAAAGACCTAGGACCATAAGGTACATGCTCAAGTTGGGCCCTAATTCTTATAAGTCTAGTGACCAAAAAAGATAGCATAACTACAACCATGGCAGCTGCTTGCCTGGCCATCATCTCACGATGTGCAGTTGGATCCATCTACATGCATTCAATATTCAAAGATACAACTCAGTTCTAGTAGATCCTTGCTGGCCTCAACATGAAAGTGTAATCATTCACAGCAACCATATCAAAGAACTAACAATAGCACGGCTGCATAACAAAAATGCCTCCAGTGCATTGGACAGATTCATCATCTATCATATCAAAGAACTAACAATTCAGCACACACTTAAAGCAACTACAAACATAAATAGCATAGCTGCATAAACAAAAATGCTTCCTATGTAGTGAACAGATTCATCATCGACTATTTCAAAGTACCAACAATGGAGCATACATGTGTAGGTGCTCGAAATCATCATTCATAGCAACTAGACCAGCATCACGGAACCAAACTATCATTCCATAGGCATTAATCGAAATAAAAAAGGGCAAGACCAAACCCTAGAATCAAAGCAAAGGGGATTAGGAGTGGATTTCACCTCGGGGGAGTCGACGCTGACTGGAAGAACGCAAGACGGAGAAGAACAAGAGCCACCGGAGAAGAAGTAGCAGATCTGGTACGGGACGAAGCAGATCGACCCCAACCGAGACCAGCTGCACCACCGCAAGACGGAGAAGACGAAGGAGGAAGACGATCGCGTCCACGAAGCCTGGCAGGAGGCGCAGCAGCGTCGCGGCCAAGCAGATCCGAACTGGTTGAACGGAGACAAAGACTAGAGAGGAAGAAGACCGTCATGCCGCACCACCACAGCAACACCGTCGGTCACTCAACGCGAACGTAGTGGGGAGAGATGGGGAAGACGGAGATAGATGAAGGAGAAGAAGGCAGTGGGGGAGGAGGGCGGCTTATAAAGACATCGGATTTCGCCGAGGAGGAGTGCGGGAGGAAGATTCATGGTTCCCGCGCAAGCCGCCGTTGCCGCCTCGAAATCACCTGCGCGAGGACGGAGAGAGCCTGGCTCGGGAGAAACGAACCCTAGGGGTGTTTCTTCGTTCCTCGGGTGTAGGAGAGATAGAGAGAGGGCTTTTTGTACGCCACGAGCCAAGGCGGAAGCTGGGCCAACGGAATCAAACAGGCCGGGTTGCAGCTGGAGGGCGTAGGGCCACCCTGGTGCCCAATATCAAATAGGGCTGTGTAGACTGCATGTCCATGTACTTGTGTATGACATGCAGTAGGGTCGGCCTCAGCGCGTCGTACAACAAGGCAGGAGTCGAGGTAACGGGCAGCAGGGCTCACATGGTTGTGCTGTAGCGTCCCCATCAGCGATGGGGTGCTGTAGCATCAGGCGGCGGTGGCACGTCACGTGACGACACATGGTCGTCCGGCGAGGGCATGTCGAACGGTGGCGGCACGTGCTCACGAAAGAGACGAAGGGGGGGGGGATACGGAAAGATGAAGCTACGTGGCATCAGCTGCCTCTTGGTTACGTGAGTTTGCCTGGGGGCAAATTCGTACCTTAGCTGGTTGATTTAGGTGAAATAAAATAAAAACTAGGAAAAGTGAAAAAATAGTAGAGAAAACAATAGACAAATGTTTTGGCTGCTATTTTTATGAAAGCAAAGTTTGGGATGCTCCGTCCAACATTGCGAAGTAAGATAGGCGGAGATCCTTGTGAAAGGGCTATATGTATACCGACATTGCTGCAGGTTTGGGATGCTCCGTCCAACATTGCGAAGTAAGATAGGCGGAGATCCTTGTGAAAGCAAAGTTTGGGATGCTCCGTCCAACAATTAGCCATTTTTAAGTCAATGATTATAGAAGAGGTACTGCCAGCTTCGTTAAATACAAGGTGGATTAACATGGACATAAGGTCGATATAGAATATTGCTGCTGGACAATCATGGTTACCATCATGTGTATCGTATATTGAATATTTGCTTTGTTTCTTCATCCTTATGAATCAAATACTGCAATTAAAATGTGCAAAAATCATGGTTGCCTCATTTGCGTGATGTTTGCTTGATTGTGAATATTTTTTAATAGACACGTGCCTAAGGCGCGTGCATATCCACTAGTAATAAACACAAAATCAAATGACGTGACATGCCGTAGGATACCGACTTGACTAAAATGAAATTGCGGGTTCGGTCTTCGGTCCAACATTGCAAAGCAAGAGCGGCGGGAGATGCTTGTGAAAGGGGCAACATATACCAACTATATAGCAATATACAAGCTAGTATATGTCCGATATATATGTTATTAACTAACGATAGTTGGCATATATATAGATGTCGACGGGGCTAATGAGCACCATCGTTACCAAATCCTCGCCGGTGGTTGTTGGACCGGCGACCTCGCCGGCGATGCCGATGGTGGAGCACATTAAACTCTCGTCCTTCAACAAGGCTCTCCCATTCTCCCCGTTCACCTCGTTCCCTGTGTTAGGGGCGGTGGTAGGGGTGGTCGTCGGGGAGGGCAGTGCCAGAGTAGAGCACGCCAGCCGCTAGCACGACCGCGGTGGGGGCAGCACGCATGCAGCAGCCACGAGCTCTACGCAGTGGGGTACGGGCGAGGAATAGAATAGAACCTACGAATCATTATTTTATTTGTGTAAACCGTGGCAGGTGTGTAATTTTGAGCAACTCAAGGAATCCATGAGTTTTTGGAGCACCCTTGTGTTGCTTCAGAAAATCCGTAGATCCGGTCCTCAGATCTGAAGTCTTGACGGATATGAATTTATAGAGCGAAGATGTTTGATAAAAGAATCAGATGTAAAATTGTTTCCGGTAGATCTAAAGCACTTATAGCTTTGCCAAACAGTGCCTAATTAATTTTAGCTTATTTTTAGTTACCTAGCAATTAACTCTTATATCTAAACAGATCCTTAGAGCATCTTCAAGAGACTCTCCATATCCTTCCTAAATGCTAGGAATAGAGAGCTTTTCTAAACGGTCATCCAAATATAGCTATCTTCTATTCTGTATTTTTCGCTAGCCAAAAATAGAAGGCGAGAATGACTCTCTAGAGTGTACATGAGATATAGAAAAATCGTTGGAGAGTGAAAAAAATATAGAAAGCGATTTTTATGTAAATGACTTTCTAAATGATGATTTAGAGAGTGAGATTTAGAAAAGCTCTCGGAGATGCTCTTACTTGTTTGGGAGTGTTGCACCGCCCGTGCTAGAGCAACAATTGACCAAATGCTAGTAGACCTAATCCACACCCTCTCGTGAGTGGCGACATAATCTCTAACTGTGCAAGGACGGCCATTGTAGAGTATAATAGAAAGAACACGAAATCAAATGAGGTCATGCACATTACAGAGGATAGGGAGACTTGACTAAAGTGAACTTCCGGAAGCTGTCAATTTTGAAAGGTTCGGTCCAACATTGCGAAGTAGCCT